TGGGGGGTCCCCCAATAGTTCTGGTTTCAAGTAATGCTTGAGAACTGTTTTTAGGAGGCACACTATCACAACATGAGACAATATTCTCTTCCTTGGACTTGTTTGTGTTGGGGAAAGCTTGGGCTTGTCAGCTCGTGGATGGTTTGAGCAGGGGTTCTTTATCTTGGCGGGTTGGGGACAAGGGATCATGGGAGTGCTGGAGAGCATCCGTTCTGTAACGGATCCCGGGGAATTCCTGGCGGAGGAGAAACAGTCCCGTCCGCACAGCCCCTCTGGGATGGGTGAATTGACTCTGGGGTGCGATGTGTGAAAGAGGGACACATCGTTCGGCTTCACATACCGAGTTGAGGACGCCCGGCTGGTGTGTCTGAGCCGCAGCGCTCTGGGTGTTCTGGGCGGCTGGCAGAGGTGGCAGGCTGGCGCTGCGGGCGGGGAGCAGATGGGGAGAGCGCAGCCTGCACTGCGGGGGGAGGAGTCAGGGGCCCCCACAGCGCTCAGGGGGGCTGTTCAGCACCAGCCCACTGCCCACTGCCAGCAGCAGCTGCGCTTAACACCAAGCTGCAGAATTCCTACTTGCCGGTTTAATTGCTGAACCCCGACGGCACTGTTCTGGATTCTAAACAATGCTGTTATTGCTTCTCAATTAACTCTCAGATTTATTACGTTTACCGCGTCCCTGTTTGGGCTGGATGCCGGGCATGCTAATGCCTTAAAGAGGCAGAGGCGCTCCTTGACTCCGCTGACCAACAATAGTCCAGCACCCCTTGTGCAAGGGAGCAGAATATTCTGATTTCCCTAAAAGCAGCAGCAGGTCGGAGCAGGGGGGATCAGCAGGGACAGCTGTGAGCACCGAGGCCTTCGTAGAGCGGGCCCTGCAGGGAGAGTGAGGTTTGAGGAGGAGTGCGCTGTCTGGGCCTTGTCTTTCCTGTGGTCTCCTGGGTCCACTGCAGATGTGCAAGGCCAGAGGAGTAAATAATAATAACCCTTACACTGTATATATTACTGACACTAATGGGGACTCCCCTCCACCACTACCAATGTATAGCATCCACCTGGATGATGCGACGGCAGTCACAGCGCGCCAGTACACTCACTACACACCAGCTATCAGTGGGGAGGAGAACGGAGTGATGAAGCCAGTTTATAGATGGGAATTATAAGGAGGCCATGATTGGTCAAGGCCTGGGGGAAATTTGGCCAGGACGCTGGGGACTCCTACTATTTTCGAGAAACACCCTGGGACAGAGAGTCAGGACCTCGGTTTTACATCTCATCCAAAGGACGGCGCCTTTTTCCAGTATAGTGTCTCCGTCTCCCAGTCAGGTACTGACCAGGCTCACACCTGCTGAGCTTCAGTAGGGCTGCCAGCTCTGAGCTGCAGGGTGATACAGCTGCTGGCGAGTAAGTCTCTACAACGCTCTCACAACGAGGAGTTCACAGCCACACATCAGTAACGTTCTCCTGCAAGCTTCTCTGTTTGCATCGCAGAAACGAATGCAGCCTTTGTGAAACTGCAGCCGCTTCTCATGTCTCAGATCTCAGATCTCAGGATCTGACAGGCGCTCGTCGGTGGCTGTGCTGCTGCCGTTCGGCAGGGCAGCTGGGGGAAATGACACGCTCCTGTTGCAGAGGCCCACAGCCGCAGTGTAGAGCAGGAAGCAGCTCCCCTCGCTGCGCCGGGCCCGCGGTGTGGAGATCGAGCGCGATAGCACCGACGTGGCGGCCTGGGCCGAGGAGAGGCGAGAGCAGACGCGCTTCGGCTGGGTGGCCATGGAAACGCCCCGCGCTGCCGGTTGTTAACCACGCGTCTGGGCTGTGGTGAACCGCGGCCCCCCTCCTCCTTGCAGCCAGGAAAGCGTGGCCGGGGGTGCTGCTAGTGCAGGTGTCACGAGGGGAGTGTGTGGGGCCGCTATCAGCTCATTACTTTTGTTGAACTGGAAAGGCGCCGAAAGGCCAAAAATAACCGGAGGGTCCTTATTGCATAAGATGCGTTCAGACGTGCAGCTTTGAGCCCCCAGCTGCACCTGTTTTTTATTAACTTTTCCATCCGCGTGAGTAAACTAGGAAAGTCTTTCAAATGTGATGAATCCACAAACTTTGTGTTTAAACATTGAAATTCTGTTGCATATGGTTCTGTTTCAAGTTTGTGCACCAAATTATGGAGGTAAAAGCTTGTAGGTGCAAGTTTGTGCACTCGTTTTGTAGGTAAAGGCTACATTCTGTGTATATTTCATTAGTATTTTAGCCAGGGGTCTGCTGTCTGTCGGTAGCTCTGTTGGAGTCAAGGGATTGTGGATGGATGGAACAATTTACACTGTGTTGTTGCCACCAGCTGCATTCCATGGCTTAGCTGCAGAGCAATTGAAAGCCATGAACGTGTGTGCCTTTTACAGGCTGTTGGCATCAATAAGGCAGGGTAGCATGTTCCATGCTTCTGCAACCCTTTGTGTAAAGATATACTTCCTGTTCTTAGATTTAATTGCACTTTGACACATTTTCTACTTGTAACCTCTGGCTCGTGTTTCACTGTTCGTTCATTTGTCACTTGCGCAGCAGATTTAGAATACTTGTATCAGGTGCCCTCATAGTCTTTCATTTCCTTCAGCATCACAGAGTAGGACATTTTGCAGAGTAGGATATTTGTCTACATTAAATGTCATCTGTCAGGTGTTTGCCTGGTTCTGATCCCCGTTCCAGAGAGTATTACCATATCTGACTGGTTCTTATTTTTGCCTTTCAGGGAGAAGAAGAGAAAGCTTTTGTCATTATGGAAGAAGGAGGGACTCCTAGACTGCTAGCACACTCCATTCTTATTTCCTCTATTCTTGTCTATCATAGTGCATCATTCCTTAATGTACAGTCGTGCCATTTAAACAAGCTTACTTTCAAGACTTCCACCTTAACTATGTCTATACCTGTGGGAGCCGTGTCTCAACGTTGATAACCACAACAGATCTAGTTCCCATTTACAGCACCAGTGTGGATGCGTATGCAGTATATCAACAGCATAGCTGCCATTTACAATTCGTAAGCATTAACTGCTTTTCTATTTAAAAATAAAAATATGAACTAAGTTCATATTTAGTTTTCCACCTGCTATCTTTTCTTCAGCCAGAAATAGGAGGAAAAAAATCAGAAAACAGAAAGTATACTTGAAAACAAAAGAGAGAAACTCAATTTTAAAGTTGAACTGTAGTTCTTGAAGGGAGTAATTCTCCCAGATGTTAGACTACAGCCTTTTATTCTTACTGATACATAATGCTTCAGCTTTTTGCTGCTATATGGAGTAAATTTCAGCATCTGATCCTGTGTAAAGTTAATATTACTAAAATTTGTGCAGTTGCTTTTATGGATATGTTTGTGTTGCTTTTTTTAAAAAAAATATTTGACTTAGTTTGGTTCAGTACTGTACATCAGTGATCTCTGCTACATTGCTTCCAGTGCCCTAGGAGATGTAGTCTGGGTTTTTATAAAACTCACTTATGGTCAAGAAACTTATTTGTTTTAGCTACACAGTCTTATTTAGTGGCATTAATTACTGGTGTTCTTAACATACTCAGTGCCCACATAACACACACCCATACTCTCCAGCCGTTGTCATAGCTACAGTTCACAGGCATGGCTGGCTACCACACGTGTCACTTCCTGCTGCCACTGCCTTGTCTACTACACTGTTCCGAGTCTTTCTGCTACACTATGTGGCACAGCTGTGTGTTCCTCTGGGTACTGTGTTCCACTCCTTCTGTCAGTGGAAGCCTTGAATTTCTTGCCCATTAAACTGACCTGATAGTTAAGTTATTTTCTAGAAGGTAACTGGACTCGTAAAGTCAGCTTAAAGCCCAATTTAGGTTGCATAAGCATCTGATGATCCTCCCTTCAGGTCCTTTAGACATTCCTGTGTACAACAGACCTGCTCCTTGACCATGGATCTCCAGGACAGGCCTAAGCTTAGAGGAGAGGATGGAAATATCCTCTCACACACTGCCTTTGGGATTCCTTCAGGGCAGGGTCGAGTCTTGTTGAGCAAACTAGCCCTATGCCACACCCGTCTAAATGCAAAGATTTTCAATATTTCTTTGGACATCTTATATAAAAAGTACTTATAAATCTTAGTACAGAGCACATGACTAATGTTTCATCAACCAAAACAGAAAACAAAAACTGCAAAAATATATTTTTACAGTTAAAGCTTAGTGTACTGTTGGAGGTGCCAGTCAAGGAGGAGATATTAAGTCTAGCTAGCAGAATTCTAATATTTTTTAAACACTCCTTTCGCTGAAAGTGCTGCAGAATAGCGCACATGTAATATATTTATTAGTGTGGCCATTTGCATATCTAAAAAGTAAAAGATTGTGAATTTGGCTTGACTTCAAGAATGATTTAGAACAGGGGAGTCCAGTCCTGGTCCTGGAGAGTCAGTGTGTCTGCTGGTTAGAGGTCCAACACAGCTCTTAATGAGCTAAACCACCTCGTTAACCAGTTTAACAACAGCTTCTCCCAGATCTTCAGATGCTGTTGCTTTCAAGAGCCCTAGAAAACCTGCAGGCACACAAGACCCTCCAGGACCAGGACTGGACATTGTCCATCGAGAACACAAAATGGGGCAGTCAAAA